CCCCAAAACCCCAAAACCCCAAAACCCCAAAACCCCAAAACCCCAAAACCCCTGATAAAAAAATTAGATAGAATACTATAATTTTAAAATAATTTTTATGCAAAAAGAAGAAAAATTAGAGTTAGTCAGTGACCAAGTAGACAAAATATTATGTGGAAATAAGAAGCAAAAGCCTGTGACCAAACAAAAAAGGAGAAACAAGAATGTCGACATTAGCTCTATCAAAAAGATTAACGACTACTTTCCTACAGTAAGTCTTAGACGAGATTTGGGCAATAGTACCTCCTATTGGGGGCAGGAGAAGCACAGATTTCCCCATAAAACAATTTCGTTAAAGTTTGGGAAGTGTCAAAATTATTTTATCGAAATATTTCACTCATAGTTTATTGATAGCCCACACCTTTGACTATTTCCCACGCGTTTTTAAGCTAGATTTTCACCCTCACATTTTAGAATCCCTAAGAGTAAGCCCGAGAGACAAGGGGTGAACGGCACTACAACTAAAGATGAATCAAGAACAACTGAACACACAACGCCAGATAAGGCAAATATTGAAAATAATAAGGGTGTTACTCCCAAACCTGAACAAAGTAAGCTATACTAATGGAGCAAAGGCGATATCCAGGTTTAGTACATGATGGATATTTGCGGGCTCCCCCATTGCTGTTCTCAATCAATTGGCGGCAAGCCCTAATTAATCTTTTATAGGAGTGCCTGAACAGAAATCGAAGTCTACTAAATCCAGTGCAGAGTCCGAAGCTTTCCAGCAGAAACTCAAGCGGGAGCAACTCAAAGCCAAGCTCAAGTCCATCTTCTGTGAGTGCTACCCCTCCCTCGTCGACGCCAATGGAAACATCAAGTATCCCATCAATGACAAGCTGTTAAGGAAGACTCCACTGCTCCACGACATCGACGAAATGCCCACAAGGCCAAAATTGTTCAAAGTGTTTCTCGAGAACTCGCAGGAGTTTGAAGACATCCTGCAAATTTGGGAGTTCGCTTCGAACTGTCTGGAGTTGCCCAAGCCGTTCAAAGCTGAAGACCTCTACTCAGGACTCAAGTTCACCGAAGATACCGAAGAAGTGACCCTCATCTCGGAGATCATCTGAGCAATTCTGGAAATGGCCATCAGCGAGATTCCGGACGAACAAGTGGAAGATGAAGACTCTCTCTTGTGGATGATCAAACAAACTCAAGGAGAAGGCAAGCTCCGCTTCGTCTGGCCTTGTCTCATCAGCATCTTCATCGAAAAAGGTATTTTAGAATTCACAACCAATGAAGACATTAAAAAGATTGGAGGCATCCTGCAAAACGCCACTCCCAAGAATTTCAACTCTTTGCTGTCATACGACCAGAAAATCAAAATTCTGTTGTTCTTGTGCAACTCTGCACACGACTTCCAGGCGTTCAGAGACTATCTGAGCGAGCGGCTCAAAGAGAAGCACCGATACTCCAAAGAAAAGCAGGATACGTACACTGAGATCAGGAGAATCGACTCTGAGAAAAAGCAACTCATGGCTCAACATGCAGACAGCGACTTCGTCAAAAATGATAAAGTCAAAGGCAAAATCGAGGCGCTTCGTGAAGAACAGAAGGGGGCCTCCCGCACCAGAGGCAAAGAGATCGCCACTCAGCTTGAGGCTCTGACTCGTGAAATGAACCAGTACTACGGATCCATGAAGGCATTCGACGAGAAGATTCAGTCTCTGAACAGCAGAATCAGTAGGCTCAACGACCAGTTATTCAGAGTTTCTGTGAAAGTGCCTACCATTGGCTACGACTTGCAAAACGAGTACTGGTACTTCAAAGACGAACCCACCAAGATCTTTGTAAAGCACCTTGAGTCTTGTCGGTGGGGATACTACGGCGACGAGGAATCCATTCAGCAGCTCGAGAAAAGCCTCCTCACAAAAGGCACCAAAGAGAAGAAACTCTGAGAGGGACTCAGGAGGCTCAGAGGCAAGATGAGAATCAAGGCAACCAAGGAACACAACGAGCCAGCTGGCGGAGTCAATGGAGCCAATCAAGTCGAAGAAACCAAGGAGACACCTGCTAATCAGTCTCAGCAAAATGGACACGACGTTGAGACGAAGGAGCAATCTCCAAGGTACGAAGACTACAAGGAAGAGATCGACTGGGACAAATGACTCGAAAGAGCTGTCCAATTCTCATCCAGGAAATCTGAAATGAGCACTCGCAGAAGTGCCAGGAAGTCTGGAGACAGACTCGATTCGCTCAACTTGCAGTCCATCAAAGATAGAATGTTGGACCTTGAGTCTGACTACACTGAGGCCAGCAGAGAGATCGGCAAATCATGGACTCCATACAGTGGCATTGACGAAATGAGAAACATCATCGAAGACGCAGAAGATGAAGAAACCCTACGAGATGCTCTTGATCTGATAGAGCGAGGCTTCAGCAACCCTATGAACGTGAAGACAGTCGAAGAGATGCCTGCTTCAGCAAGGGTCGAGCGAGACATAGACTCTCAGAGCAATGCGAGCGGGAAACCACCCGCCAACAAGAGGATCTACGAGAACGGACTTGTGTTCTTCAGAAACAATCGCAAGATCAAGAAGTTCTGGTCTTCAGACGCGCTCAAGGACTCCTGGAGAGAATACAACTCCAACATCCAGAATGGGTCGATCTCTGCTCTGTTCCTGAGCGTGTGCATATTTGCAGACCAAGCCGAAGACTTCATTGAGAAGCTCAACTCCAAGTTGGAAAAGAAAAACAAAGAAACAGAAGAGCTAAAATCCAAAGACAAGCTTAGCAAATAAGAGTTCTAGAGATTCTGATCGCAACAACCGCAAGCGCACTGTTGGATTCTATAAAGAAGAAAGCGACGATGACCATGGCAGCGAATCCGAGAGCAAGCCTTCCAGAAACAAGAGGCAGAAGCTCAGCCACGAAAGCGAGTTCGAAGAAGACAGCCCCATCGAAGAATCCGAAGAACTCGAAGAAGAAAGTGAAGATGAACATGACGCTGAGATCCAGGACGAAGACACCAGATGGGACTCCAGCTGCTATGTTTGCAAGAAGCTCGGGGAACTCATCTGTTGAGAGGGTTGAGAGCGAGTAGCACACTTGGAATGCGTCAAACTGAGAGTTATACCTGAAAACGATTGGTATTGCAGAGATTGAAGAGTGAAAAAATTTAGTATGAGACAAACAAGATCCTCAAGAAGAAGATAAGGGTGAAGTGGATACTCCCCCATCATGGTATAACCCAATTGAATAAAATCTTTAAATTGTCACCTGTTCAATTATACAGTAACACTTCGGGGTTTTGGGGTTTTGGGGTTTTGGGGTTTTGGGGTTTTGGGG